CTTGCTGTCTGCCCTCAAGCTCACATTGTAGATTCAGACAAAATATCAGTAACATCCTCAGGACATAAAAAGAACATTATATGCACTCTCAGAATAAAATATAAAAACAATAACTAGAGTAACAATGCAACCCGACCACACAATCCCGGCTCATTCAGCCTACGTAGTATCCCGAAAGCGAGAGACACAAAGGGCATCACGCAACCCACTCACCGAGCCCGAGACAAAGCCAACCAACCAACCAACCAACCTGGTCGATACCCAAACCTAACCTAAATTAACCTAACCAGAGAAAGAAAAGAAATTTTTCTTCGACCCATCCCGTCCGTCCCACTATCCATACTCAACAGAAAAAAAAAAAAAATTCTGCTCCCAAGAAAGGTAAGTAAACAGCGTAGCCCGGTAGCAGGTTCCACCAGCCAGCGTTTCACCACCTCAGACAACACACCACACCTGACGTAATTGCCTCATCCAAGATCTACTACCTACTTGTCTCCAACAACAACAGAAAAATGTAATGGAAAAGAGTACACCCGTGAACTAAAACCATTATAGGCACTACATACTTTTAGCCACAGCGGGATGGGATGGGTTGGGATGGGATGTTGCAACATGTTGTGTGAGGGCGGGCAGGTTGTTTTTTGGTTGCATGATGCTGCTTCGGGAGCTGCTAGCTGGAATCGGAACAAGAGTAGTGGCCACCGTAAGTCGTACCAGCTCTCCTTTTTCTTTTTTTTTCTTGCTAGGGTCTAGATTTTTCAGGAACAGGGGTCGACCCATGCATGGAATCTTTGGGTGAAATTGGCCTATGAGAGGGGAGAGGGGGGTGGGTTTGGGTTATTAGTAAGAGGAGTAGGTAGAGTTGCTGTCAGGGATTTTGTGAAGAGTTTTGAGGTGACGGTGCGATGGGACGTTGCCAGGGCTAGGTGTTGTTCTTTCTTGCTGGTGGTGGCGGTGGTGGTGATAGTGGGAAGCTTGAATAGGGTCATGAGGATGGATGAATGGAGGGATTGTGTCATGTGGTGTGGTGTATGTGGAATGGATGTTATGTTGGGTTGGTATTATTGTATGGGTAGATGTCAGTTAAACTACCCTACTAAGCTAAGTACTTGGCAAAGAGAGCCGCAAGCTGAGGATCATGATATCATTCGGCTTTCTCTCTCTCTCTCTCTCTCTCTCTCTCTTCGTCTTTTGGTCACTTTTTGACTGCTTCTATCTACGGACTTGTCACCAAGAACCTTGGAACTACTAATTAGACTACTAATCTTGACAGTCAACGTGCCTGGCTAAGCTTCAATGAATACTGTTCATAAGAAACAAAACTGGAAGGTGATCTACTATCTATCTGATCGTCTGTACCACGTTCCAGGACCACCTTAGCTGTTCTATATATAAGACTCCTCTTCTCTCCGAGTCTCCTCCCCCTACGGAGGATTTCTCGCACGCCATTCTATTCTCCGAGAAAAGAAACTTACCTACTTACTAGTAGCACCGCACTATCCATGCAGGAAATTCTCCTCAGTTCGGTAGTGTAGCACAGCCGCAGTCCCACAGGGTTCCTCTTCACCCTTATCTGCAAGTCATCAGAGAGAGAAAGAGAGAGCCGAGACACAGACACAGGCACAAGACACAAGATTTATTCACCGGCGGTGGTCCCAAGATTAGGACGGATGGCCCCCATCCATCTGATCCAGCCCGATTGAGTTCAGCTCAGTTATGCTTTGGGATGTGCAGATTCCGAACTCCGAGATCTCGGTGGATATTTGCATATCTGCACTGCATTGCATTGCTTTGCCCTGGATCACGCTCTGTAGTGCGCATTTGACAGATTTAGCGGAGACTATACCTTAGATCGTAGAATAAAGAGCACCGAGGTAACTGCGAAGCGAGGATCTTCTCCTTCCACATTATTAGATTAATCCTTACTTTATGCTATCTGTTTCTGCTAAACATAGTATATCGTATCATCTATGGTGCTGTCGATCATGGATTGCGTAGTCACCAACCCCCTGGTCGGAGGTTTGATTGGCCCTGTCGACAGACACCACATACCACGTGTAGGTTAGTAGAGTACTTTGTAAAAGGTAAGGTCCATCCGGACCTGTGCCCTCCGTTGAAGATAAGATGCGGCCCGCTCCTATCTGGACGGTCTTCGATCTGGCTCCATAGCTGCATGCACCTTTCACCGAACTCCGAGACTCTTCGTTCGCCACACGTCCCCCAGTGGATTCAGACTCAGCTCAGGGTTCAGTTCACACACAGACACACTCCCCCACCGGCTCGTTCTTCTCCATACTTCCATTTTTGTTCCTTTCTTTATCTCTCCCCCTTACCCCAGGTTGATCGGCAAACGCACGTGAGTCATCATCTAGAAGTAATTGCCAAGCACCTTAGGTGCTCTTCTTGCCCTTCTCGCGCTCGGCCTTGCGCAGAGCACGCTTCCGGATAGACTCGTGCATGCCCTTGTTCTGGCCAACGACAATCTTGCCCATGGTCCCGGTAACGCAGGTCAAGAACCAGGCCATCAATCCGTGGCTCCAGTAGGGGGAAGAGCTGTACGCGTACGTGGGAGATCCGCCATTGCGGCCAATCTTAGTCAAGACCGACTTCACGAATGAGCGGGGGTCGGGGATCGTAGCACTAGTCCGGCGGATCTTGGACATAGCAGAGGTAATAAGGTAGGCCTGGACCAACTCGACAGTAATTCCGTAGGGCTCGAGCTCCGAACCAAGGGAAGTGGACCATTGCTGCAGGAAAGCCTTGCTGCCGGAGTAGGTAGCCAGAAGAGGGGTAGGGAGAAGTCCACCGAACGAGCCCATAGTCAGGACCAACCCGCGCTTGCGCTGCATCATACCCGGAACAACCAGCTGGGTTGCCCGCAAGGTACCCAGGCAGTTGATGGTCACGATATCAGTCATCTCATCCTCGGGGGTCAGAGCGAAGGGAGTAGGGATGCTGTGACTCTTTCCAACGTTGTTGACCAGAACGGACACGTCCAATCCGTCCACCAGTTCCTTCAGCTTCTCGTAGTCGCTGTCGTCGTTGCGGGCGAAGTCCATCGCCAGGGTCTTGGTCTGCACGGAGGGGAACTTGGATGTGATCTCATTGGAAAGGGTATCGAGCTTGGAGGCGGTACGGGAAACAAGGAGGATGTTGAAGTCAGCGCGGGCGAGCTGAAGAGCGAATTCCTTGCCGAGTCCATCGGAGGCACCTGTGACCACGGCCCAGCTGCCCTTAGGGCCGAAGGAGCGGAGCTGAAAGAATGAAAATCAGCGACATAGTCTTCAATTGATATTGTGAGGGACAACATACAGGCTTGCCAGGGAGCACAAACAAGCTCAGGAGGACCCTGACGAAAACGAGTGCGCGAGAGACGACGAACAAGCTGCCAGCGGCGAGAAGAGCCGAGGCGCCCACGGTCTGCCAGCCAGGCTGCAGGTTCAACTGGAAGTTGGACAAACAGTCCAGATGCTTGGTCAGAAACTCCATGATTGCTTGTTGTTCAACCCGTGCCGAGTGAAGATTGTGGGGATGGAAGCTGGCTGCAGAAAGAATCCGGAGACGGACGGAGATGCGGCAGCAATCATAAAGGCAGAATAATGGTTGGGGATGGGCGGTGCCAAGACCCCCCAAGCGGACAGACCTCGGCCACTCCAAAGAAGCAATATCCTCATCGCAATTATCAGTCTTTCCCAACCAATTGATCCTCCACAACTCTATCTCTCTGCAGCCAATTCTGTCAAACTCTCCGGAGTACAACTTCGCATAGTAATCATGGCCGCTCTTCTCTCCTACCTTCCCCCCTTCGAGGGTCTACTGCCCAAATGGCTCTTCTTGGTAACAACCCCCATTTGTTTACAGCTACACTTCCGTTCCCCGGACCGACCCCATGCTAACCCGACCACTTTTCTCCATTCAGGTCTCCGTCGTCTCCGCCGCAAACAGCATCCAAGCCTACCGATCGGAGTCCTATGCCGCAGATCTCTACAACGGAAAAACTGCTGAAGGTCGCCCGCACACCAACCCCCTCTCTTCTCGGACTTTCGGCACATGGACTTTCCTTTCCTCCGTAGTCCGCATTTACGCCGCCTACAACCTCAACAACCCGGCTGTCTATGATCTCGCGCTCTGGACTTTTGGCATTGCCCTGGCACACTTTGTCGGCGAGTGGTTGGGCTTCGGTAGTGCGCAGCTTAAGGGTCGTTTCGTTAGCCCTTTGATTGTTGCTTCGTCCACGCTGGCTTGGATGTTGACGCAGAGGGAGGCGTATCTGGCTGCTTAGGTTGGGCTGGATCTCAATTATAAGTTGCCGGATTTGCGGCTGGTTGCTTTTCGATGCATGTTTTATTTCTTAGCGCAGGGACAAGCTATGGATCGGCTAGGTTATGATCATATCAATTATGTAATGAAAAGGCAAAGGAATAGTTGTGAAGATCTATGATCGGTCAAGGCACGGGGTCTAATTCGCTTATTCTACGTATGATGATGTAAACTGTCGGTGCTCTCTGACAGTCCCACATGTGCCAATGTCAGCGCATGTAGAAGGCAAAGCAAAGTTCGTAAATCGAGATTGGGCGATTCATTCACTGCTCTCAGAGGTGAACCATGTTTCACCTCCTAAGGTTAATACTAGACAGGTAAAGTTACGCCGAGCGCACAGCTCAGCCGCTCCATAGCAGATCACTGGTCGGAGTTATGCTACGGAGTATGTAGCGGAGCTGTGGGGAACCGAAAAGGACGATCATGATGACGCAGGAGCTGGCAAGGGATAGAGGCTGAGCTGAAGTAAGGGTGCAAGTCATTAATGGCGCGCGTGTGATTGAGACACGCATATCCGATTGGCTCCTTTTCTCGCAGGGGTATGACAGGAGTCGATACAGATCCGAAACACAGAAGCCGGCCGGGACTGGTCCGATGGACCCACGAACGCAGGTATTCATTGCTGTCAGAACACATAGGTATACAACATCCAATCCAGTTTAATCCAATATTCTTTGTTCTTAGTCCATCTTCTTCCTGTAGAGCTCTCCTCCGCAGCCTCGCAACCTCGCGGCCGCTTGCTCGGGTGTAATGTCACGCTGGGGCTCGCCCATCATTTCATACCTATAACTCATCAGCAAACTTTTACCGTAACGTGATAGCTGAAAACCACTCACCCGACCAAGAATTTGCGCACAGTGGCGCTGCGCAATAGCGGGGGATAGAAGTGAAGGTGAAGATATGACGACTCGATTTCCTCCTCTGTTCCGTCAAGCGGTGCTTGGTGGATACCCATGCTGTACGGGAAATGCGTTCCGAACAAGTTGTCGTAACGTCTGGTGACTTCGGCAATGGCTTCCGCCAGCTGCACCTTTTCGCTGCTATTTAGATCGACCAGGGCGCGCTTGTGGGTCTTGCTGACAATCATGGTCTCAAAAGGCCAAACAGCCCACCAGGGGCAGACAACTAGGAAGGCATCGTTCTCAAATACCACGCGCTCCTGTTTCCGGCTTTCGAGAGCAGCATAAGCTTCCAACATGTGCTTGCCACCATTCTCCCGGCGGTACTTCTTCAGCTGCTCGAGTTCCATAGCCGGTTCTTCGGGCAAAGAGCTGGTAGTCCAGACCTGACCGTGAGGGTGAGGGTTTGAGCACCCCATGGCGGCACCCTTGTTCTCGAAGATCTGCATGTAGCGATACTGCTCCTTAGGCTTGGTCAAGCTAGCAGTCGGGGAGTTAGGAGGCAGAGTGGTCGCTGGAGCTACAGCAGCCAATGGCGACTTTGGGGACAAATGGGCAGTGTAAATCTCGGTCCAAGCGTCAATGACAGGCGCGATCTCGGCAGGCGAAAGATCGGCCAAGGTGAGGTTGTGGGCCGCAGAGAAGGTAAGCACATAGCATTTACCGGTGACAGGCTCCGCCTTGAGGAAGAATGATTCAAGGTCTGGTCCCCGATTTTGTTAGTATCGCATTCGCTGGGCCTGAGATTACAAGTCAAACATACCCTCGCCACCTTCAGGGGTGTAGTACGGCGCTTGTTCTTCCTTTACCGCACTGTAGTCGTTTACGAAGACGAACGTTTTCTCATACTTGGGGTTGGTATCGCCCTGCGCGCGCTTGTTTCCGGGGCAAAGATAGCAAGCGGGGTCGTAGGTTGGCAAGGTAGTTTTAGAGGGGCTCTCCTGCTGTCCTCTGGTCGCAGCATTTAGCACAACTGCTCCTCTCTGAATGGGTCCATGTCTATTTCTGCTAGACAGAAGCAGGCCAACTTACTGCCAGGGGCGCTTGGTCCGATGCGGGGAGACCAGAATGTAGGATCCTCGAAGAGGATTGAATCTCCGATGAGAGATATCGTCCAGAACGTTTTCAACCATTGTTGAGATAATGTATGTAGTCAATGCAAGTAAGATGCAGTGTTGTTACAAGAGGAAAGAAAAAAGAAGAAGAAGAAGAAGAGCGAAGAAATTGCGTGAAAAGAAAAGTTGGCTGATGGCCCTGGCGGCGGGGCTTAGTCGCGGGGTCTCCGGAAATTATGGCGATTCGGCACCGAACCAGCACGGGGTAAAAAGCTGCCATCCGGTCGGCTGCTCGGGTAAATTCATGGGGAGGCCCTGGACCCTTTTCTTGCTGCTGCAATTGCAACTGCAAACATGATGGTGCCTGCCTGCTACAATCTTTTATCTGTGTGTTTAGAGTATTAGTCCATGTCTTTGGATTTTTGCATTTTTATAGATCATCTTATAACAAGATTTCATAAATCAACCGACCTGTACAGCATGTCTACCGGTTGAATTCGACATAAAGCATACTCCACTATTAACTAAAACCAACGCGGTGGTGGGCCGAAAATGACTCTCGTTTCTTTTCTTTCTCCCCGCGGCTACCCGAATCCAGACAGTCAGCTGCCCGCCTTCGTTCGGGCCGATTCGTTTGACGTCAGGGGGAACGAGGGGTACTGGCTAGCCTTATCGCCCGTTATCACCGAACCTCCACATCCCCGGAGAAGCTCGCGCTGGCATCATCTGACCCTTGTCACGTCACTTCCCTCCTAAGTTGGGCTCCACTGAACTGCTGTTACTGCTGTGTATGAACCGTGTTCCGTTCATTTGTTGCTTGAGCGAAGATATGAGATTCACACATATTTCCCGCAGTTGATCAGATCATGGACGACGGCCATTCAAAGCTCCACCTCTACTCCCTTCCCAACGAAGTGCGATAATGTGATCTCCAATCATTGAGAAAATGCCTCGCTAATGCTTCTATGGATATTTTAGGTCCTTGCTCAGATTCTATCCTCCTTCTCGACACGATCCCTCATCTCTTGGGCGACAGTCTCCCGCCGCTTCCACGCCCTCGTCCTGCGGATCCTACATTATCGTCTGCTCATCGGCGCTCCTTTGCATGACTATAAACTCATCCTAGAATGCTTTCACCCGAGCGAAAAGCTTAAGGTGCCTCATGTATTCTGCACATACCTTGACACCGATGGTTTAGATCAACTTAACGGGAGGAGTGGTTCGCTTTATGAGAATCCCGACACGGCCCAGCAACTGGGAAGACTGAGTTCGGTGTATGCTCGGTTCCGCCCTGAAGTCGCGGTAGAAGAAAGATCGAGCGGAACAAGGCTAGTACCCCTAAGAGGTATGCGCCCCTGTTCCCAGATACAGCGATCACGACTCGAGGTCTCTGATTTTGGTAGACGATGAGCAAGACCCCGACCGAGACAACTTGGTTGTCACGCGCCCTATCAACCTCGATAACTCTGAAAACTTTTCTCAGTTATGTGTGGTCGTAAATATCGTGAAGGTCATGCCGGGTACAAATCTGCTCCTGAGTGCACACAATGTCGAGGACGGGGTAATCAGGGTATTCCGCGACTGGCTGAGAGACGAAGAGAAGCGAATACGTGAATTCGTACCAGATGGTACAGAGCCTTCGCAAATGCTATGGGTTGATCAGAGCAAGAGTGTCGGGATCAAAGTACGGGTCAAGGCAAAACCGCTAATGAATCAAAATGTGCCAGTTCTCATCCATCGCGACGACGACCAATTCACGAGTTATGAATTGTTGATTGAAGGTATGGTGGTCTCTGGTTCTCTTGTTTACATTCGCACACTAACAGATGGCTAGAATTACATATACGCGCTGTTCGCTTACTCCGGACCCTGGAAAAGTCACAGGAGGAACAGCAGAATTATTATAAAGCTGTAGTTATAACCCCGACTCTCAGATAGCGGCTTTCACGGATAGACATGTCAGTGATATGGAGGCCGAAATCTCGGTCTAGGCGCATGTTTATATGTCTTTTGTCTATAGCGTTTCTTTTGCAGGGTATGCATTCAAGAGCAATGCCAAGGTCCTGTGTCCGAGCCGACTACTCCGTAGGTAACCATGGTCATGTGTATGTACTTGTTAGGCGACATTCGAACCCTTGCTTTTTGACTTCCTTCATAGGGCGCAAGCGAAAACGGGACTCCCCTTTGATGTTAGCTTACCTCTGGATTTTATACATTCTCTCGATCCGGACCACTTATGATATCATGATTTAGTTGTATGCGCAAACCATTCATATACAACGTTTATTTCAAGTCTGTGTCTCCAACCTTTACTACTAATCTTTATCGCAGAGACCTAAGCGGCCGGGCATATCTAAAAATTTTGCCGATTGGTCAATTTCAATACCTCTCATCCTGAGAGCGCGTAGCGCCCCCACCAGAGTGCTTTTGGATCCCTGCAATCTTGTTTTCCGGAAAACAAGATTGCAGGGATTTCTCAGTTGGACTCTCGAGATAAATAATTCATATAATGTCAGAGGTACAAATGTAACCCGTTCCAATGAAATCTACATCTTTGTATGCTACTTTCTCTGAATAGATCCATCAATATAGTACTCCAGCTATGGAAATATATATCAGCTTGTAAACCATACTTTTCTGTCAATGAATTTATTCTGTGGTCATGGTATAACTGCTGTGGTTAACATAACTAAGTAGCTACTGGAGTACTAATTATTAATACCTCTATTCTGTACCAGGTAAGGAAGCATATGTGTCTCCTCTAGAGGACGGAAACGCTGGAAGTAAATGTTGTTCTTACTAGTTTGGGGAAACAGAATTGCAGGGATGAAGATAAATCAGTTGGGGGAGTGCACCATTGGTACTATATGTCGGACAGGAATATAATTCCGATCCAGTAGTCAATCACACACATCGACTTTAAGTCCAGGCAATGTGAGAGATATTGTATTATTGTCTATAACGTCTAATTCATTCCTTGTTGCCGCATGCGTTCCACACTGACATTTTTGGAGAACCACAGCTCAGCGCACTACTGCGTCTCCTCGCGTTGCATTGATCACTTCCAAGGGAACAATTCAAACAATCTTCGCAGAGTACACAATTGAACCATGTTATCTATCTACAAGAGCCAGGAATCAATACAGCGAGGTTACGGAGTAGTACTATGAGAAAAAGGACACCGAAAACCCTGTATCCATACGGAAGGCTGCAAGAAAGTTTGGGCTTAGCTATTATCGCTTGCGACGAAGAGTTCACGAATTACCATCCAGATCGACTCGTCACCCCGCGAATTTGAAGCTTACTGAGGCTCAGTATAACTCTCTAATTAATGATCTCGACGCTCTAAATCGGACTGGCGTTCCTCTAACTGCTATACGCATAAGGGACGCAGCTGAAGCAATACTTCAACGCAGCCAACCTGATCCTGATCTTCCACCACCAAAGCTCTCCAAGATGTGGCCTTATCACTTTCTCAAATAGAATAAACAAATCTTCAGGCAGCCGCAGCAACGAGAAGCACCAGAGTCTGGAACAGCGGATATTGGGCGGAGATAAGACAGGCACAGCAAATTCTGAAGCAACCTCGGCTCCCAGAACACATTCCGACTCCTGATTCGCTGAGGCCTATCGCCCCTGCCGAGTAACCGGAGGAATGAAGAAATTGTAATCGGAAAAGTCGTGCCGGTTTGATTTCAGGGCATGTTTGTTGTCTTACATTTATTTGTCTTTTCGTCATTTTTTTCCTCAGTTTAGCAGTTGCTTGAGAAGGTTGAGAGACATTTCTACCTTGTGTCAATCTCCATACCACCCAGCCACCATTCTGCAAATAGCCGTTGTGCTGAACCTTAATTAACGGGCACTATGGGCATGGCAGGCACTGTCGCCAATGGCGGCGCTCCTCGGCCCTCGAAGATCCCCTATTGGCGCCTTGTCTTCGACCAGAAAGTCGTCACCCCGGAGATCATCGATTTTAACTACGAAGGGTTAGGGACAGAAGAATCGCCCTATGTCGTCACCTGGCTTCCTAATGATCCTCGAAACCCTATGGCTTTTGGTAATCTCTCAAAATGGCTATATACTATTCTAGTTTCCTTCGTGACCCTTACTGTCGCCCTGGTGTCATCAGCATACTCGGGAAGTATAAGTCAGGTTGTTATAGAGTTTCAATGTGAGGAAGAGGTTGCCATCCTCGGTATCTCGCTATTCGTTTTGGGCTTCGCCTTTGGCCCGCTACTATGGGCTCCGATGAGCGAGGTGTTCGGACGCCGTAATGTTTTCTCAGTGACCTTTGCGCTTCTCACAGCTTTCAATGCAGGGGCTGCGGGTTCAAAGAACATTCAAACGCTGGTCATCCTTCGCTTCCTGGCCGGATTCTTCGGATCTTCACCGTTTGGCAACGCGGGCGGAACGATTGCAGATTTGTTCCCCGCTGCCAAACGTGGTATCGCTATCAGTCTCTTCGCTGCAGCACCTCTTTGCGGACCTACTATTGGCCCTGTCATCGGTGGCTTTCTTGGCGCTGGAGCAGGCTGGCGCTGGGTGGAAGGATTCCTGGCAGCCTTTTCCGGCGTGATGTGGTTATGCCTTATCTTCTTCCTGCCGGAGACATATGCACCAGTTCTCTTGCGCCGACGGGCTGAAAAGCTGTCTGAATTGAGTGGCAAGGTCTACCGCAGTAAACTGGATATGGAGAGAGGCAAGGTGTCTCTAGGCCAAGCATTGAAGACCGCCCTGTCACGACCCTGGCTCATGCTCTTCAGAGAACCCATTGTGCTGCTTCTCTGTATCTACATGGCCATCATCTATGGAACGCTTTACATGCTGTTTGCAGCTTATCCTATCGTCTTTCAAGAGGCACGCGGTTGGAGTGAGGGTATTGGAGGCTTGGCCTTCTTGGGTATCCTAGTCGGAATGGTGATTGCAGTTGCTCTCACTATTCCCGACAATCTGAATTATGCGAAGAAGTGTCAACAAGCCAACGGCCGTCTGCCTCCCGAGGTTCGTCTGCCCCCAAGTATCTTGGGAGGAATTGCCCTACCTATTGGTCTTTTCTGGTTTGCCTGGACCAACTACCCGTCCATCCACTGGATGGCATCTGTGGCTGCAGGTGCCCCATTCGGGTTCGGCTTGGTATTGGTATTCCTGAGTGTTTTCAACTACCTCATTGACGCATACACGATCTATGCCGCATCGGTTCTGGCGGCGAACTCGGCTCTCCGGTCTTTGCTCGGCTTTGCGTTCCCATTGTTCACGACCTACATGTACGAGAACCTCGGTATCCATTGGGCTTCCTCAATCCCCGCGTTTTTGTCGCTTGCGTGCCTTCCTTTCCCTATCGTCTTCTACCTGTATGGTGCCCGCATCCGCAAGCGCTGCCTCTATGCTGCCCAGGCAGAGGCGTTCATGCAGAGACTTGCTGCTGCGGCGCAGCAAAGCTCGGCTCCTCCACCCAAGTCTGACGTGGAGAAGGGGGAATCTGCCGCTGGAGCTGATAATGGTATCAGCGACGATAGTGACAGTGACAGCCTTTCCAGTATGCCTTCTAGGGGTGCAATGGAACGGCGGGCGTCGCGTGCTTCCAAGAAATCCACTCACTCTCTTGCTCGTACAGTCACATACGAGGAGAATCCGTACGATATTGATCGAGTCAATACGTGCAACTCTACTATCAGCGGTCGTTCTAGGAAGAATTCGACCAAGGCATGAGGTCATACTCCACACTTGAGCCTGTGGGGCAATATCACACAAAAGTCTCAGGGCACCACCAAAGATGTGATGCCAATCCATATAGCTAGATATTATTTTTGTGCTTTGTATGCACTTACTAAATGTGCGAATGGGTACGTTCGCGAGAGAATCATATGCTGGTAAAGCCCGCAGCTTATACATGGAGCCCTGCAGCAGAGAGCTGTACCCTTCGCGGCGTACGCTTGGAAACGACATCTGAGCCGTGAGAATCGCCTAACTGGCTACAGCATGGTAGCTAGGGCATTGTTCTTGAGCGAGCTTGATAATGACCTCCATGATGAGGTCGATGGGGTTCTTCTTCCATGTCGTGAATTTGCATTGGCGCATGACTATTTCACTATCTCAGCGTTCTGCTTACACATTGATATACCTTCTATATAGAGACATAGAATAATGTTAATAACATAGACCATAGACAGAAACCATCCCCCAGTATGCGGCAATTCCCCTGCACAAACACTCTTCCTGACCGTGAGAGAGACCGGATCCCCAGCCGCAGACCCTTCGTTCACTGCCAGACCCTTTCGTTCACTGTGAAGCGGAGACATGCAGAAGCACAAGCGGAGACATTCCAGAACAGTATGAAATGCCTTCCGAGGGAGTTCGGAGGGAGTTCGCATCCGCCATATCAGAAAGGCGGATAGTAACGACAGAAGGACAACAGTTCACATACTCTCATCTTCAAGCCGTCAACACGTGTTTTTGGATTCACTTCCTCACCCCGCCAAACAGTCACTTTGCACAGACACGCACGCAGCCAATTTCCTTCGATGCATGGCTCCAATCATGGAAGATAAGTGCTACTTTCTACCTCCCCTTCCCCTTCTTCTTCTTGTGTTTCCTCCTCTCATATCTACCTAGCTTACCCCCCATCTTACCACTCATCAGAAAATCATACTACCGAGCCGCCATCATGTCCTACGGATATAGATACGGCTCGACAGACACCACCACCGCAATCAATATCAGAAGCAGCACGCCCTGCATTCTGTTCCTGACAAACAGCGAGCGCGAGCATTCCAGCGTTATCCTCGCCGTAGCTCATGAATTTCTCATTGGCAATACGCCTTACAAGATCCATATTGGATCATTTGGACCGCTCAAGAGACATGTTTCAGACTTGAATTACTATGCTGCGGCTTCGGAGTCTCCCTTTGCTACTGAGGCAGCTTTTAAGGAGATCCCTGGAATGTCTATGAAACATGTTCGCATGAGAGATGGACAGTTTGATGACATCCCGCAGATTGGTTTCTTTGCTGCGTTGAGGAACTATCGCACGGATTTGGCACTAGGTTTGATGCCATGGACCGGTAGGGATTATATTGAGATCTTCAATGGCGTTGTGGATCTTGTGAAATCCCTTGGCCCTGTTTTGATCGTCGTCGATCCGCTTTTTGCTCCCGCTGTCGACGTCTGTCGGTACTTGCGTTGGAGACATGTTCTGTTGGGAAAGGGTGGAGTCAAGGATTATGTGGTGAAGTGGAAGTTGAGTGATTTGATGAAGTATCCCATGTGAGTTTTGAGTGATCGCCTCTGGCGCTTGTGGGGATTATATGCTGACTGCGACAGGATTTGTTCTGGCTTCAAAATGCCCATGTCTATCTGGGATAAGCTTCGCAACCTCTTCCTGGGTTTTCGGTTCAAGCACGAACTTGACAAATGCGAAAGTCTCAAGGAGCTCAATGAGGCCCGTGAGGCTCGCGGAATTGAGGGCCCTCTTCCTTTCATGTCCCACGAGGCAAAGAAGAGTAGCCGTGTTATCATTCCTTCCTGGCCTGAGACTGACTTCCCACTCATTGTGCCTGAGCACATGACCCTCTGTGGCCCTATTCTTCGCCGCTATCGCCCTATGGTGAAGGAAGATCCTGAGTTGGAGCATTGGCTTTCGAAGCGTCCTACTGTGCTGGTCCTGATGGACGCCCGCTTCACCTACGAGGGTAAACAGCAAATTGAAATTGCCAAGGCCCTGAATATACTTCTCGAGCAAGAGCTCAACATCCAAGTCCTCTGGAAGCTCAAGCACGTCGATGATCCTGCCGTGACCAGAGAGATCGTCAAGCTTTTGGGGGTGTACATACACGGGAAGCGTATGCGCATTATGAAGCATTTTGTGTTCGAAACCATGTCACTTCTTATGAGTGGACATGTCAGTTGTGTGGTGAATTATGGCGGAGCCAATGCGTTCCATGAGGCTGTCAGGTAAGTTATTTACTTAGTTCGTTGCAGGGCTATGCATTCGTTTGTACCTGCGGTGGGATGAATGCAAGATGCGCTAACACCGAGATCCACTAGGGCTGAGGTTCCGCAGATCGTGCTTCCGGTCTGGTTCGATGCGTACGACTTTGCTGCACGGGTTGAGTACCTGGGAATTGGCATCTGGGGTAGCCGCAGGTCGGCACCAGGCGTGAGTGGGGAGGAGCTGGGCAGTGCACTGCTGCGTGTGATGGCCGACACTGACGAATCCTATGCAATGCGCATGCGCGCCATGCAGGTATCCGGACAGCTGCCGTTCAAAGATGGACGCGTCGTCGCATACGAGAAACTACTCGAGGTGTTGAGCCAACCCTGGGCGCCTCCTCACACTCGGATCCGCGGTTGAAGATGAATGACATGACACATGGTCATTGGCGTTCCTTTCCTTGAGTCAGACAGAAGAAAAACAAAAGTGCATTTGCAGCAAGCGGTGAATTTGATCTGGGTGAAGATACAACTAACTAACTACGGTGTACTTAAGTTGACTCGTTACTTACTAGTCAAGTTAATAGTTAATTAACTGGCGATGACTCCGCGGGCGGGGCCATCCGGTCTTCGGCATTGAACAGATAGCGAACCGCGACTGTTCGGGCTGTCGAATTGACCGAAGCTGGTCCACTGAAGCTTAGCATGTTAACCGGTTCCACTCAATCATGAAGAAGTTCCATTGAACCGTCTCCATCCGTAAGCTTGACTCAAACTGCCGTATCCAATAGAACCACCCGTGGAATGACGGCTAAACATTGAACCCCCTCTCCCCGCATCGCATCCGGTTTCGCCCTGCTTCCTTCATTCATCTGTTTTTAAACCAACTTCTTCCCCAAGCTTCACTATCCAACCTAACAACAATTCTCACAATCCATCCATCCCTTCCAATTCCTCTCTTCTCACCACAAAACCCACCACCACTACAATGGCCAACGAACGCATCACCTGGATCGGCCTGGGCAACATCGGCCGCGTAAGTCTCCCCCCACCATGTGCCCCTCATTGCATCACCACCCCCAATTACACAATACTAACCACCCAATTCAGGCCATGGCCGCCAACATCGCCCAAAAAGGTCCCCAAACAGCCCCCATAACCCTCTACAACCGCACAACCAGCAAAGCGACGACCTTCGCATCCACCCTTCCCGCCAACAAAGCCACCGTCAGCACGACCCTCTCCTCCGCCATCTCCGACTCAACCATAATCTTCATCTGCGTCGGCGACGACGCCGCCCTGGAAGCCATCATCTCAGGCCTGCCCACAGACTCCCTCTCCTCCAAGATCATCGTCGACTGCTCCACCGTGCACCCAGACACCTCGCGCAAGATCCACAGCCAACTCGCCTCGCACGGCGCCTCCTTCATCGCCTGTCCCGTATTCGGCGCTCCCGCGGCCGCCATCTCGGGCCAGCTCGTCGTCGTGCCCGCCGGTGACGCCGCCGCCATCGAGCGCATCAAGCCCTTCCTGGATGGGGTTACGTCCAAAGCGACGATTTCCATGGCGGGTGAGGATGTGGGCCGTGCCACGACGCTGAAGATCCTCGGAAACACCTTTATCTTGAATACTGTGGAGACGGTGGCGGAGGGGCTGGTTACGGCGGAGAAGACTGGGTTGGGGGCGGACGTGTATCAGCAGTTCTTGCATACCTTTTTCCCCGGCCCGTTCGCGTTGTATGCGGATCGGATGGTTACCGGGGATTATTGTCGGAGGGAGGAGCCGTTGTTTGCGGTGGATTTGGCCAGGAAGGATTTGAGACATGCTAGTAATTTGGCGGGGGAGGCGGGGGTTAGGTTGAGGAGTGTGGAGGTTACGGATCATCATTTGGTTACTGTTAAGGAGGAGAAGGGGGTGAAGGGGGATGTGGCGGCGGTTTATGGGTCTGTTAGGAAGGAGGCGGGGCTGCCGTTTGATAATTAGATGGGTATGGGTGTGTTTGTGGGGATTGTGGTATATAGAAAATAGCAATAGATTCAACTAAGCAACTAATCTAACGAGTTGGGTATAGTTCCTTGGGCTATGGGTTGGTTCGAGCGAATGAGAAACAATATAGCCGTTAAGCAAATGAGCGAGTGACTAGAAGGTAGTAAAGTAGTACTCCTTAACCCTTCTTCGAACTCGAATCCTCTACCTCTCCCCGATACTTCGAGATCGCGAGCAACGTCTCCAACAGTGCTTTCTGCGCCTCCAGTTCAAGCAACTGGCTTCGCGCATTATCCAGTAATATCTCCAACTGCTTCAGGAGGTTCTTCAACACTCCTACCTCCATGTCCATTCCTCTAGCGGCGTGAACTTCTAGATTCTCGAACTCGCGCCAGAGAGTGGACGGGTCCCCGCTGCTGCCACTGCTACTGCTGCCGCCTTGCTCCTCTGGAGGAACCGCCCGACTCGAAGACGCCTCGCCTTCTTCGGGCTCGAACATCTTGCGGATCAAGCGTAGCTCTTTGGCTGCGGATGCCACGGCAGACTTTGCAGTAAGGATTTGACTGGGGATCGTGGTTGGAGTGGAGGTTGAGGTGGGCGGGGGTGGGTTGGGGCCCAGGGTTGCTTGTGCCTCTGCATCTTGACCGATGGAACCAGACTGGGTCGAGAGATCTTCATCGAAACTGATTTCGAATGCAGTTTGGACTGATTGGGGCGGCTGCGGTGCTGGTTGCGGACCTGGCTGAGGACCTGGCTGAGGACCTGTCTGCGGTCCCGGCTGAGGTCCAGGTTGAGGTCCAGGTTGAGGTCCCGGTTGGGGTCCCGGTTGGGGTCCAGGTTGAGGTGCAGGCTGAGGACCAGGCTGCGGCCCAGGCTGGGGTGAGGGAGGTGGTGTAGGAAGAGGAGTTGGGCGTGGTTCCATCGCGAGCTTTGTTCTCGGTATCGTGCTGGACTGTGGATGGAAGTAGTAGTATCGGTGGGTATATGAGAATGGATAGAGCAGACAAGAGCTGGAAAAGACACTTAGTGTGTTTCTCGCTGTGAGTGGTCAGCTCATGATGATGTATGAATGTATGGTCTGAGAAGAATATAGATCCATGTATACTAGTCGTCATCTCCGTGCCAAAGCGCCCAAATAACCACGGATACCCGTGCCTTCGCGTAGACGGGAGCAAGATGACATTAGAATGAACATCAGATTTTGACGTTATCGGGTCAAGCTCTAAGCTCCTACGAGACGGCTTGCAGATTTTGAGGCTATGACCGCATGGTTTGTACATAGAGATTGTCATGGCATAAAGGTTCGGTGACATCTTTGAGTCTGAATATCAGGAGGACTTCTGCCCCAGGTTTGGGACCGGGTTGTTAGGCCTAACCGACTCACTAAATTACACGTCAGAATTCTATCCGCAAAAGAAGGAAATTTGACTCACTTTTGCCAATACAATGCGTTGTAGACATGTCATCTACTAGTCCTGACGCTTCTTCTTACTCCACAAAATCCGATGTTGAACGATTTAATATAAACAGTATCAGCATGGGAGCCATTGTCTATAACATTTCAAGCCATTTATTTCTATTATTTGATTTTGAGTTCCTCCCGGGGTATATTCAAGTTTTAGCGATGTGGTTGTGTGCTATTCGAGGCCGAGGACTCTGTTGCAAATTGTGCATAGCTCGAGCATTGGTGCTGTGATTATTTGACTTCTAAATAGCTCAGTATCATCACTGAGCAACGAAAGTAAACCGACATGAAAACAGCAGTACTCACAGTTGAAGCCCTCTCGCATGCTGATCTTCGGGCTGACTCGGAACCATCTATATATAGTACTCTATAGATCGGAGAAGAACTTACCAGCAACGTGTAGGTCATTGAACTGGCAATTGGCTCCTCCAATGAAGACTAAGCGGAATTGGAGCAGCCCGGGTAAGGTCGATCAATTTAGTCGAAACGTGTTTCTGACATGGAAAGGGCCATTTCTCAGTCTCACAGAGCATTCTGTGGGTGCGACCTGGCAATCACCCGCGACTCTATTCACGTTGATGCTGTGTCCCTAATCGGGTAACAGTAACTAGCAGTGAAAAGAAAGAGTGGGAGGTAGTCGTAATCCGAGCCGAGATATACCCCGAACTGCTGAAATCCCAGACGGTGGATGTTTGGAAGTTGTCTGCATACCAGGGAAGGAACGGATCACGGGACGGTCCCCGTGAATGCGAGTTTCATCAGTCCTGCAGACTCCCGTCTCTCGCTGAATCCTCGTGCCATCCACATGAGACTTTTGCTTCTCCCCGATAAAGAACATTGCGTGGCCTTGACCTCGTGAGTTATGGCGAATACTCGGTATCATGACTCGGGAGTTAACAATCTGCCACAGACCTACAAGATACGCACACAAGAATCGGCCTCGCCACCCCTAATTACACTTTGCTACTGGGTAGCAAGGTCCACTGTGGCTGCAGCAAGTGGCGGGATGTACATTGCATAGAGAGACTACCTACCTGCTGCCTGCAGTTCTCAATCTCCATCTGCTGATAAGGCGAGATTTCGAAGAGAACACCAACGGAAGGATTCGTGCAGCGCCGCATATCCGCAGCAAAATCAACGCATCATAGCGGAACATAACCCCAAATTTTGGTATATCGGAATCTGAATAAGCTTCTAGCCCGTGGTCCCGAACCCACCCGAGGCAATATTCTCACCAGCTGTCACCAATCGATTAGGCTCCCATAGGGAGATCGCCGGTAAGAGTGGGTAGAATCCCCAAGGACAACTGCCAGACTTCGATGCTGTCGGGCTAGAACTGAGTCCGGGGCTGCGGAAATCTGATAAACTCTAACCGCTTGACCTCGGCCGGACAATAAGCTTTCTAGCAACCTCTATTTTGGTGCAGCTCCATTTGCATATTCGGTCTATTTCTTAACTAGGATGTGGACCTGAAGATCCGTATCACGCCTTTGACTTGCCACAACGAGCGATCATATATGCGACGGTTAGTGGACATCCTGGACTTGGGAGGAATGCCGAAGCGTTGACTGGGACGACCGGGTCCAATGCCCCAGCCGATGGGCCAACCGGGAGATCTCCCGCCTTCCGTCCAATAGTACTGTACTATTATGAGTATCGTCTGCTGAGGTGTCTTCACCAAGCATTTCTGGATCTGAGCTAGGACTACCAATCCGGATGATTGATCTACATATTTGGCCAAAACATGCCATGGCTGATGCCTTCAGGTATGAGCTCAGTCCTCTGACAAGCCTGTTTCAGGGCCGCGCGGAACTAGTTGCAGGCTTGACATCGTTATTGCTATCACCACACCCACGGGGCTGCAGAAGAGTAGCTACTTGGTCTCTTCGATGTAACCCGTCCCAATTGTGTAGACCCAGCCTTTGAGACTATTTCGGCCATATTCTAGTTGACCACCTAATTAACGACCAATGCTTGGAGGCATCCGCCAGTGGATACTGGATTTGGTCTCGAACTGTGGCTGCATATATTCGACAATAGATGATGGGATTAATATCAGTTTTATTTCAGCTATTTTGGGACCAAAGCCACGCGATCATACTCTAAAGGTTTCCCCGGGAGCAGTTACCCTATGGGATCTGATTACTGATCCTGATCCCCTGAAGTGATATGTCGATCTGCGAATGACAAATGGAGAATTGGGTCAGGGACCTCTGCTCCATGGTGGATCATGTGGGGAATATTGAAGCGCTACCCAGAGAATAGTTTCGATGGGATAAGGCTAATTCTCCATCCCAATGGGGCAAACGTTGATAAGGAGCAGAGGCGAGTTGGTCACGCAAGGAATCCATTACAGTCATCGATGCTACTACCCCTGCCTATGTTAGATGATCCGTCTTACGCCTATTGTATCCATTACAATCCGCCTTGGGCGAATTTTGCGACAGGTAATCCCAAAATCAGAGAAAGGGAGCCACGAGGGACCCACGGAACGGACAGCAAGGGCCGGAATGCCAGACTCATCTACTGTGTGGACGCGCGTTGTCTGCAATGATCTACTCAAATTACCTGGTTTGTCTGTCTTCCCAGCGTGGCTGTCAAGCTACTTATTGCCTTGGTTGTCTGTTGGAAATCATGTCGAAAATCATCTGGTGCCATTGTCCCTGATCTTCCAGCTCCTCTTACTATCCCCGTGTAACCACCCCCATCATTAACATGCCTACGGCGCCACCCGGGGATGTTGACTACTCCGCCGCTCTGAGCCAGGAAACTAGCCTGGAGAGTGCTGACACGATCTTTGTGGAGAAGGACATTGTGCACGTTGAAGAAGGAGAAATCAGATCACAAGATGGTGCATTGGAATCGGACGACCCCCAAGACAAGGACCTCGTTGTGGACTGGGACGGGCCAAACGATCCCCAGAACCCCATGAACTGGACCACCTTGCGGAAATGGGTCATTATCGGGCTGATATCTTTGAGCAGCTTCAATGTGTAAGTCCAACACGTCTACGCTAAGACTATGCATCCGTACGAGCATCTGGATTGACTGTTGCAGATCCATGGTATCCACGGTCTTCGCTCCCGGCGTTCCGCAAGTTCTGAAAGAGTTCAATGTTCACAACCCATCCATTTCATCTCTTATGATATCGATCTACGTGATGGGTTCTGCGCTTGGCCCTCTGGTGCTGACACCTCTCACTGAGATAAGTGGAAGGCTTCCCATGACACACCTGGCCAATGTACTATTTGCACTGGCTGCAGTTATTTGCGCTGCCAGTGTGAACATATCAATGCTCATAATGGCACGCTTCGTTATGGGAATAGCCAGTTCCGTGCCTGTGACGGTCGGCGGAGGCTTCGTTGCGGATATGATTCCCATGGAGAAGAGAGGGACGGCAATGACGATCTGGACAGTTGGTCCACTCATGGTGAGTTAAATCTACCCATCAAGTGGATATATAATGCGGATCTAACAATACGTTAGGGCATGGTCACAGGACCTATTTATGGTGGTTACATTGTCCAAAACATTGGATGGCGTTGGACAATCTGGGTAGAGGCGATTCTTGTAAGTTAGCTCGATTCCGTGGTGTTGGACGAATATCTAATATGATTAGGGCGGTATCATCGTGGTTGCTTCCCTGATATTCTTGCGGGAGACATACGCACCCACGCTGCTCCAGCGAAAGGCGAAGCGACTCCAAAAAGAGACTGGACGGCCGTTTCGAACTCAGTACGACCTGGATAAGACGATTGGCCAGATCATCTGGATCTCAATCAGCCGCCCGATCAAATTTCTGTTTTTATCACCCATCGTTATGATCGTTTCATTGTACAGCTCCATCACATACAGCTATATGTACACACTGTTCACGACGTTTACGAGCGTCTTCGAGAATGTGTACGGCTTTACTCCCGGAGAAGCAGGTCTCGGCTATCTGGGACTGGGTCTTGGGTTCTGTTCCGGACAGGTTGTTGTGGGATACTATTCCGATCGATACCTCAAGAAGCAGGAAAAGATCCATGGCAAGATGAAGCCCGAAGATCGTCTTCCACCTTTGGTGGTGGGATGCATTCTCGTGCCGATTGGTCTCTTTTGGTACGGCTGGGCCGCAGAATACCGGTTGCACTGGATGGTTCCCATTGCTGGTACCTTTTTTGTGGGCGCAGGCATCTTCTTTGTTCATCTGGTCACACAGGTGTATCTGATTGACTCATATACTCTATATGCTGCCAGCGCAGTATCAGCGGAGCTGGCTCTGCGATGCCTCTTTGGGGCTACGATCCCGTTGGCGGGCACTCCTTTGTACGATGCCCTCGGACTAGGATGGGGGAATAGTCTGCTCGCGTTTATTGCACTTTTGTTTGTCCCGGCTTCACTTTTCTTACTCAAGTATGGTGAGAGAATCCGGACGAATCCGAAGTTTCAGCCGCGGATGACATGATTTTTGTTTATTTGCCACTACTGCGAGCATAGCGATGGCGTTTTGTTAGCGTTGGATTTTTACGAATATTGATGTTTATGTTTCAACCTGCACAGACATACTCAACACCGAAGTGTTAATGTGCAGCACGGAGGACATGGGTTATCCAATACTATGTTACATATCGCTGTCTTGGTTCGTCAATACAAGGTATATACTGCAAACACCTACAAGAATCACACCTCGGAGAAGAATCAATACTTTAAGAGAAATCCCACATTCGTGTTCCAACAACGGCGGTGATGAAAAAGGAGAAGCACCATCTCAAGCATACTACCACCATCAAACAGTCAAAAATCGTCGACCACAATAAAGGGCTTCATAAATACAAATAAAGCCCAACTATATATCAATTGGCCTGCTGGCCCAATGGTAAGGCGCTTGACTACGGATCAAGAGATTGCAGGTTCGAATCCTGCGTAGGTCACTTTTTTGCCCTTTTTTGCCCCCCTTCCTTTGCTTTCCTCTTCCCCCTCACACAAAAATGCGCCTCAATTCTCGATACTTTTTTTTTTTTTTTTTTTTTTAAACAAGCACAACGACAAGCACGACATTAAACAACAATCGGAATTATCCGAACAGACCCCATGACCCAAGTACAATTAGTTGACTGAGTCGGACTTTGAAAATTGTTGGGTTCGTTTTTCATCCCTACCGCGTAACCCTACCTACTACCTACCTTCCTTAACCCTACCAATCCCTGAGACCTGGATCGAGCCCCCAAGACATGAGAGAAACAATACCCTGTCTGTCACTTATATACTACCAAGTAAAGTTACTCCGTACCCAACTCTATAAATGAGCCAAACACAAACAAGCCTTTCTTCAAAGGAAGGGGATACGTAGAAAGATAGTATTATGTTCAATCCCCCCCTGCCGGCAGCCCATACAGTTACTAGATAGTAGATAGTAGATAGACTGTCAGACCAGGAATGCAGGACACCGCGTCGCTCGCTCGCTCGCTCGCCCACCAAATCAAGGGGTGCGTGCGAGGGAAGGAAGGATGGGATACTGACGCGTAGCATGCCAGATATCTACCTACTACAGAGGATATAATAGCGGGAATTATTCCCGTTTCCTATCGAGTAATTCTTTCCTTCTTTCTTTTTCGATCAGACGTTCATTCATCCATCCATCCAACTTTGAATATTGTCCCCATTACATACAGGGAATCAAAGCGAACGAAAATCCACAAAAGACAATGAAGTTCCTCGCCCTCACTGTGCCCGCTACCCTTGTGATGGGTGTGATGGCGATGCCGACTCCTGTACGTTCTATCTCAAAATCACTTCACACACCATGACCTAGCGGTCAAGACAAGAGAAAGGCAAAGCTAACAAATCCACCAACCAGTCCACAAGCAAAGCGGCGCGTCTTTCAGGCGAGAACCTCCTCGACGGACTAGCCAATGATGGTGGACTCTCTGGATTTTTGTCTGGCGTGCACCTTCCCTTCCTGAATCCTAGTCCGAAGAAGGATAGTCAGGATCCCAGCGATGAGGATCCTGATGATGTCCCAGCTGGGGATGATAAGGGACCTGGTGCTGATGAGGATAGTGGTCCTGCTGAAGCGGCTGCTCCTGGGAATTATGATACCAGGAGTATTGATGATGGACCCGGTTCTTTTGATGTTGCTGTAGGGGCTGCTCCTTATAACCCCGGGCGTGGTAGTGGTGGTAGTGGAGATCCTGTGTCTTTGGATGTTGCTGTAGGGGCTGCTCCCAACCGAAATGGTCCGGCTGATGGGGTTGATGATGATAATAACGGGGATGGCCCGGCTGATGCTATCTATGGGCCTGAGGATACGGCGGGTGTTGGAGCTGGAGTGCAGAATGGGACTGAAACACACTAGAGTTGGGGGTTATATGGAAGGAGATCGGATATGAGATGATGAATGATTGATGCAGTTACAGGGCTCGTGTTTTTCTGCGGATGGTTTTTTGGATTGGTTTCTGTTTGTCCTAATAGTAGCTAACTATAACAATATCGTATCACACGCGCAATCGGTTCGAAAATAAATAAAAAAAAAAAGATCCACGCCAGTCATTATCGGTTGGTTTCATGAGTCGTAGTCGTAACGAGCGTCGCCAATCGTCAAGTATCGTCATATAGGTGTTCAACGAAGGGTATCAGGTTTGTGTCACACATGTCGTAAAAAAAGTAAAAGTGAGAAAAGCGCATTAATCCTCCATGTCCAGGTCGTCCACTTCCACGCGTGTCCCCAGTGCCTGTTTCCCTTCCTTGATCATTGCTTGTAGCTGCCGGTTCAACCGGGCAAGGTTGGCATCCTCCTCACGCTCCATGCGGCGCTTTTGCGCCATGTAGCGTTGCGTCTCCACAGACACAGGGCTCTCCCGCGGCTTAGCTGGTGTTGAGAATTGCGATTTCGTCGGCATAGACGGCGCATGCGAAATCAGGGTTCGCTTGCCCTGCGACCGCCGACGAGAGTGGGTATGTGCTGGGGTCCGACGATGGACTCGTCTGCGCTGAGAAGGACTGGCTTCGTCCATAAATTCCTCTCGTGCGGACACGATCACCCAACTGTGCTTGAGATCATCTTCTGGATATTGTCCCGGAAAAGGGCTAGAGGAACCCTGTTGCCGCTGAGAAGTGGGCATGCTCTCCTTCTCGATCGATGGGGATGCCAGCTGGGGCTGTGCATCCTCCGCCGTCATGGTATAGCCTTGCCCACCGCCTGCATAAAACCCTCGGAAAGCTCCGCTCCAACAAAAGTCCCAAACTTTGCCTACCACGCCTAGCACCGCTCGACTCCAGCGGACGGGAGCAGGCTGTGGGTAAGCAATAGGAGCATTGACGGCAGGAGCCGCGGTCGCGGTCGCGGTCATAGTCGTGGTCGAGATCGTCATTTTCTCATCGTGACCGGTGGGAGAGGCTGCGATCAAAGACGGATCCCAGCGGCTGCGTTTACGGCGAATGTCCACGGTTTCGCTGAGAGACTCAACACTGTCATCGAGAACGAGAGATCGAGCAGGCTTGCGATAACGGTTGGGGCGATAGACTTGATCGACGGAGGTATCCTCCACACCAAGGAGGAGATCGTCGGGGGAGATCACAGAGGCGACATGACTAGAGGGGGTGTCGACATCCAGCCAAGGACGACGATCAACTTCTAGACGGGATCTCTTGCGGTTGGGGATAGAGATCGAGCGATACAAAGCCGATGAGGCTGAGGGGGTGGGCGGAACTTGGAATAGCTGTGATGGGGCGCCGGCCAGATCGAGTTGCGGAGGAATGGGGGACTCGAGGAAGAATGGACTGGCTGGCATCCTTCTTCAAGGTGTGGAGACGAGCAGTGGCTGGGAAGGACAGGAGATGCAGGGGGTTTGCATATGATGAAGCAAAAGAACGTGGGCGATGGAGATAGTTGTAGAGGTGAGAAATAAGATGAGGAGGAAAAAGAGAAGAAGAAGAAAAGAAGAGGAGATAAAACACGGGATTGTCCCCAACAAGAGCCACCGCCAGCCTCCCTCTTTCTTTCTTTTTCCCTTTTCTTCATTCCCCGTTACTTTTTTTTTTTTTTTTTTTTTTTTTTCACCGCAACAATATTTATTACTATGATTCTTAGTTATTTATTTCACATGAAGCCTAACTACAGCTGAGCCTTCCACTCGCGATGGGCCTCTCGCAATGCATCCTCGCCATCCACCAGCACACACCAACCCTCGCCGCCCACACCACCATCTCCCACTACCGCTGCTGCGAAATGACCATCTAGAAAGTCCAACACACTCTTATCATACGTGCCTGGCTGTAGCCAGACAGCGGGGATCCCCACACTGTGAGCCTCCTTGAGAAGGGCAAGAGTCACTGGGGGAGGGGTCACAATAGACAAGGAAGTCTGGTCGGGGTTGGGCAAGTCGCGGGGTGATGGGACCGTCTTATAATTCTGCGACGGCAGCTCGATCTCCGGGGCGCGAGGGTTGAGGGGAGTAACGGGCAGAGAGTGTTGATGATACCAGGCAAAGACTGCTGGTCAGCCGGCGCAACAGCCTGCAAAGTGATGGCAAAAGGACCTACTCTTGTAGCCAAATTTGCTGCGATCGTTGCTGGCCCCCGCCACAGCAAACTGCGGCGACAGGAAGAAGCGGCGCGCGGCATCCATCGTAGCAGACATCTTGAGATCGTATTGGTGATAGAATATATATACAGATAGTCTGGAAAGAGTAGTAGGATAGGATGGTTCGTCAGGCGGACGGATATTTAGTAGAGGAGGATGACGATGATGTGGGGGAAAGTGAAAGATAAAGATGGGGAAGAGACGCGGAGAAGCCGAGCCTCGATGGCGCCAACTTCTCCTTCAACTTCCTCCTTCCTCCAACTTCTCCCTCATTAACCCTCCACCAATTCCTTTCGCATTTTCTCTTCTTTCTTATATTATTCTCTAGATTAAATCCAATTCTCTAGTCGTCTGCTTTCCGCTGCTTGCATGCCCCCCTACGTCCCCCGAAAGCGTCTCTCTTCCGAGGATCCGCCCGCCGCAAAACGTCGTCATGCGACGCCTCCCATCGCCGCTGTCATTGAAGACACCGACACCGAATCGTCCCTGAGTGACGTCCCCGAAGAGACAGAAACGCCTCAGGTACCAGATGGATCGGATGAGGAAAGCAGCGATTCCGACGAGGTCGACTGGGAAGACGCCATCGAGTCCAATGCCAACGCCACCCCAGTTACGCCCTCCATCCTCAATCCCGACCAGCACCAGGACCTGGAGTTGACACTAGACAAGAACGAGATTCACCTGAATGATCTACTCGAAGGCAAAAAGGGCCCGTCAAAGATCGAACGCCAGATCCGCATCCAGACCCATTGTCTACATGTGCAATTTCTGCTCCACCACAACGCCATCCGCAATGTCTGGGCCAACGACTCCCAGCTCCACGAGATCCTGCGCCGCAAGCTACCCCAACCCATACATAAGGAGGTCAAGAAATGGCGCATTGCATCCGGTCTCGAGGCTCCAGAGCCGCCTCGTGAGAAGAAGGCGAAGAAAGGAAAAGGGAAACAGCGTCGTCAATCAGAACGGGATTGGGCTGAAGGCTCGTCGCGACTTGAACCCGGCCAACCTGATATGAGCAGCGGTGACCCTATAATCATCCTTCTCAAAGTCCTCGCCGCCTACTGGAAGAGCAAGTTCAAGATCACCGCCCCTGGCCTACGGAAACACGGCTACCGCCCCATGGCTCAATTGGAGGCTCAAACCAAATCATTCCACAAGGACGACCACGACCCCGAAAAGCACGGCGAGAGGATAGCCAACATTGAAGAGTTCCGCCACGCTGCAGAGAACATGCAGGGCTCTCGAGACGTAGGCGCCCAGCTGTTCACGGCTCTGCTGCGTGCGCTCGATATCGAAGCCCGACTGGTTGCCAGTCTGCAGCCCCTTGGCTTCGGCTGGACCAAGAGCGAGACCTATACTACCAAGCCGAGCGCAGACACCGAACCAACGACGGAGAACGCAGAAACCGAAGACGCCATTGACATGGAATCCGATAGCAGTGAAGATGACACAAATTCCGCCCGCAGCAAATACTTCAGCAAATACGACGAGGACCTACCCTTCCCCATTTACTGGACCGAAGTCGCCTCGCCCATCACCCACCAAATTATCCCCGTCGACCCGCTTATCCTCCGCAACCCCGTCGCCACCACCCCCGAGCTCCAAGCAGCCTTTGAGCCTCGCGGCGGCAAAGCTGAAAAGGCGAAGCAAGTCATCTGCTACGTCGTGGCCTACTCATCCGACAAAACCGCCAAAGACGTGACAACACGCTATCTCCGCCGCCGCACCTGGCCCGGCAAAACCAAAGGCTACCGAATTCCCGTCGAGAAGATCCCCATACCAGGCCGCAAAGGCAAATTCTACGAAGTTGACTGGTTCCGCGTAATCCTCCGCGTCTACCAACGCCCTACACCCCTACGCACTGCCGTCGACGATCTCGAAGACACCAAAGACCTCCTCCCCAACCAACCCGAACGCAAACCCGGCAAAGAGGGTGACACGCTCCAAAGCCTGCGCACATCCACCGAATTCGTCCTCGAACGCTTCCTCCGGCGCGAAGAAGCCCTCAAACCTGGCGCACGCCACGTCCGCACCTTCAAAACAGGCAAAGGCGCCAAAGCCAAAGAAGAGAAAGTCTTCCGGCGCAAAGACGTATTGAAATGCCTATCCGCCGAAAGCTGGCACAAAGAAGGCCGGCGACCAAAAGAGGGCGAGATGCCCCTGAAACGCGTGCCCATCCGCGCCGTCACTCTCCTCCGCAAACGCGAAGTCGACGAATTCGAGCGCCAGAACGGCGAAAAGCCCAAACAGGGCCTCTACGCTATCCACCAAACGGAATACATCATCCCCGATCCAATCTGCGATGGCGTCATTCCCAAGAACGAATACGGCAACATCGACTGCTTCGTCCCTAGCATGGTGCCCCGCGGCGCGGTCCACATCCCATGGTCCGGAACCGTACGCGTATGCAAGAAACTCGGCGTCGATTACGCAGAAGCAGTCACGGGGTTCGAGTTCGGATCGAAGATGGCTGTCCCTGTTATTCAGGGCGTGGTTGTCGCAGAGGAGAACGAGGACCTCGTTAAAGACGCTTGGTTAGCGGATGACGCGGAGAAACGTAAACGAGAGCAGCGCAAAGCCGAAGCGCGCATTCTGCAAACCTGGCGGAAGTTTCTCTTCGGGTTGCGGATCAAGCAGCGCGTGCAGGAGGAGTATGGTGGGAATGCAGACGAGGGGGTGGATCATGAGCGGGACGCTCATAATCCGTTTACGAATCGTCGTGGTCGGTTACCTGATCAAGATGCTTCTGCGTCTGTTTCTGCTCCTGCTCCGGATGAGCACGACGACGAAGTCCATGGTGGCGGGTTCTTACTTCCTGGTGAAGATGAAGAGGGTGAGGATGTAGATCGAGGTGGTGGATTCCTTCTTCCTAGTCAGGAGGGGGATGATCATGATGATGGAGGATTAATTGTTGATCATCACGAACAGCAGCACCAACATGTACCGACTGAGCCTGTCACACCGGAGGCTGTTGATGCGGAGATTGCTGATAGTGATGATGAAGAAGAAGGTGACGATGACGATGGCAAGGTGGAGAATCCGATTTCGCTGAGCTCTGACTCGGAAGACCTCTCGTCTCCGGTAGAGATACCGGATTCTGAGGAATCAGATGCAGATTCCGAGTCGGAATATGAGCCGGTGGCACCGCCGCCGCCCCCGCCGCCAACGACGCGGAGGAGTACGAGAAGGGGTGGTCGTCGATAGATAGTGGTTTGTTCTGATAAGTTTCAAATGTGTGTATGACTGTCTGTATGTAATCATGTCTGGCGTTGGTGGTATGTAATTGGCACAGGGACGGAGGTACTGGATGATAATAATGACAATGATAGGGATGGCAAAAAGCATATTAATGGTGTACTGATACTTCACTAAAGTAATAATCAATTGCTGTATCGTGTACTGCATTCTTCCAGGATCTATAGACATTAATCGTATGTAGTAGGTATAGGCATATAAGGGAGGTAAGTAGAATCGTCTCCCAAAAGAACATCACACATAAGAATTAGATAAAGACAAAACGAAACATGAACCGACGTAACAATCATAATATCCTCCGTCTCGACACCAACTGAGTATCCTGCACATACTCCTCGTCTCCCCCATCCAGGTCGATTTCCTCGTCCGGACTCAGGTCGAAATCCCCAATGGGGCTGATGTGTACTGCGGGAGAGGCGACCGGACTGTGCGCCACACGCGGCCGCGACTTGAATACGCTGGCGTAGTCCGCTTCCTCGTCGAAGAGCTCGTCGCGTGGCGTAGAGGCCCGACTGGGGATGGTGTGTGATCTCTGGGGCGTCTCGAACTGGTTGATGGGGTAAGAAGGCCGAGGTCGGTGGGACCGGAAACTTTCTCTTGGTCTGGGTTGGGTGGGCGGTACGATGAGGGACATCGACTTGCGGGTTCGTTCTACGAGTGTGAACCTGCTAGTTCGTTCAGGAGGGGGAGAAGGTTCCTTTTCGGGGACTTCGGTCTTTGAGAAGGAGGGAACGCTAGGCTGGGGTTCTGGGATGGAGGGTGTTGAAGTTCTTGTGGTGGTTGAGCGGGTAGTGTCTTCGGCCTGGGGAGATGATCTGTTGCTCCCGGCTGCTGAGCTGGAGGATATTGTTGCAGGGTTGCGTAATTTCGAGTCGCTATGAGTATGGCGATGACGGTGCGCTGCGGGTCGGCCGTTGATCCGGGCAATGGCCTCATTCATGGAGAAGAGCAACGCCCGGTCGTCTGCTTTGGGCGAGGCGCGTTCCACTGGCTGCCGGACGGCTTTGGAGATGCTGGCGACGGTGAGTGCTTGGTGCTCTCGGAAGACGAGCGGTTGAGATTTGGTTGAGCTTGTGGATTGTACCCGCTCATGTTTGCGCATAGAGGCACTGTACTGGCGCCAGCGCTGCAGCCGGGCACGTTGGCGGAAGACGCGAGACTCCAGATCGACTAGCAGATCCGCGGAAGAATTCGCACGGAGGCCATCCACGCTGGATTCCTTTGCTTTCGCCCATGCGATGTCGAACGGCAGTTCTAGAAAAGCGTCGCTGCTGCCCCGTGCACCACCGTCGACAAGGGTATCCGCCCAGTCCTCACCCCCCAGCCAGTTAGTCCTGAGGTCGCGAGCCAGCGCATCTATGTCGGCGCCAGTGTCGGGGAGTTGGGGAGGGTTCTCCTTAGCTCGTTCATCAAGCTGCAGCTTTTTGAGTTCTAGCAATTGGGTAAACTTTTCATGGGTGTCCCGGGCTTTGTTGCGACGCTCGCCGATTTGGTTTAGAGAGACTCGATGGGCAAGGACGAGGGGGAGCATGAGCTGGTATTCCTCGCGCGTCAGCCCGGAAGCCAATGAAAGCTTCATGGCCACATTTTGTAGTGCCGGGTCAGAGGAAGCGGCGAGGGTCTTCCGCAGCACCGCAGTAGAGAAGACGGCCAATAGTTCCTCGAATTTCTCTCCTTTGCAATCATCCAGCATTGACTTGCGAAGAATGGTTTCTCTGCCGAGCTCGCCCTGTTTCTTCAATTCGGAGAGCACACGAAATAAAGCAGCACGAAGATTGACGGACTGCAGGGGCTCGAGCGGAGGGAAGAAGGGCCGGAGTTTCTGCATGCCGTCAGTCGGGCATCAAAGCCACTGAGGGGATGGAACATACATCCCGGGCGGTGTCGGGGTCCCAGAGGGTAACCAG